TTKSCYTYMRGSMAAAAAAAAAWTATTTGAGTTTTATCTGCACCCCACTTGATTTGGGGCCCACTGCAGCAAGGGAGCCCGAGAGCTTGGCCAGAGCAGGGAAGGCTTTGATGGTGCAGGGGATGAATTTAGGGACTCTCAAATGKGCAGGAGGAGCCAGGGAAAGGGTTGCCAATAATTGTCCTTGGGGCTTGTAGTGCAGCCTGAACTGGGAAGAGCTGCTGGAGAGTCTTGGGGTGGCACCTGGAGACCCCCTGAGCTCAGTGGGGTGGGTGCTGAGAGGGGAATGGGGTCCAGCAGCACCCTCATCCCCCTTCCCATCCCCACAGCCCCCAGGGGAAGAGAGGCAGCTCCTGGCTCACTGTCAAGGAATTAATTGAAAAATAAAATCATTAGATGGGAACTCCAGAAATGCAAAATTATTGGGAGTCGGGGGGGAGGCGGAGAGGGGGGGATGTGAGCTTTTGTCAGGTTAATTTCTCCCGTATTGATGTTTTGTGACATTTACTTGTTGTTTATCTCCCGCAGCAGCTGTAATACTAAAAGAAAATGCACAGCTTGTTCCATTTATTTATTTTACACCTTTCCTTTAGTCCTGCGCCGTGTTTGTTTGTTTGAGAAACCCAGCGAGGCTTTTGATGTCTGAAGGCAGGATTTAAACAGCTGTTCTCCATGTGCTGCCGGGGGGAGAGGGGGCAGTGCCACGGCTCCTGCCAGGAGGGCACGGCTCACCTGGCACCAGCGGGGGTGGCAGCGTCACATCGGGGACAGAATGGCTCTGTCACCTCGGTGCTGGAGGGTTGGGGTGCTCCCTGAAGCACCAGCAGCCCCACTGGGGTTTTTCTCATGTATCTGTTGGGGAGGATATGGGGACATCTGGGAGCTGGAGGGTCACAGGGTTGTAGGGCAGGACACAGGGTCCCACCATGGTGGAATGATTGGGGACAGAATGGCTCTGTCACCTCGGTGCTGGAGGGTTGGGGTGCTCCCTGAAGCRCYRGYAGCCCCACTGGGGTTTKTSTCSTGTATTCATTGGGCACATCCTGGGAGCTGGGGTGTCACAGGACCCCGATCCCACTGTGTTGYCCCAATAGGGTGGCATCAGCRAGGGTGRTGGTGGGGCCAAGAGCCTGGGTRAAGCCCTGGTTGGCCCTGCAGCCACTTTGCCCCRGGGAAATGGTGAATTGTGTGGTGAGCTGGGGTCAGCAGAGAAATGCTGAATTCCATGGTGAGTTGGGGGTCATTAGGGAAATGCTGAATTCCATGGTGAGTTGAGGTCACCAGGGAGGGTTGGCATCATTGTTACCCATCTGGGGCTGTTTGCTCCCAGCAAAGCGTGGCTGAGAGGGGTTCGCCATGGGGAAATGCTGAATTCCATGGTGAGTTGGGGGTCATTAGGGAAATGCTGAATTCCATGGGGAGTTGAGGTTACCAGGGAGCGTTGGCATCACCGTCACCCCTCCAGGGCTGTTTGCCCCCATCAAAGCACAGCTGAGAGGGATTTGCCATGGGGAAATGCTGAATTCCATGGTGAGTTGAGGGTCCTCAGGGAAATGCTGACCATGAGGAAATGGTGAATTCTGTGGTGAGTTGGGGTCAGCAGGGAAATGCTGAATTCCATGGTGAGTTGAGGTCACCAGAGAGAGTTGGCATCACTGTCACCCCTCCAGGGCTGTTTGCTCCCAGTAAAGCATGGCTGAGAGGGGTTTGCCACGGGGAAATGGTGAATTCCATGGCTCGCAGTCACCAGGGAGGGTTGGCATCAYCGTCACCCCTCTGGGGGGTTTGCTCCCAGCAAAGTGCCGCTGGGAGGGGTTGGAATCGCAGCTCCTGCCAGACCCAGCCAGGGAGGAGAAGCAGAGGACACCTGAGGAGCTTCACCTGGAGGGTGTCCTGCTGCCTGCAGCCCCTCCTGGGTGGTTGTGTATGGGTTCAGGGTGTAATTTCTGCTTTTCTTCCTCCCCTCTGCTGCACCTGCACAGACGCCCCRAAGAAGAAGAAACGATCGGAGTTTTTGAATGAAATCATGGAGCACCTGGAGGAGGAGGAAGAGAACAAAGAGGAGGACATCTGACAGCTGCTGCTGTCTGCTGAGGTGGGTGCAGGGCTGAGGGAGCACAGGAGGCTCAGGGTGCTGCTCAGAGCCCAGCCCTGGCCTTACAGACTGTCCTATCCCAGCTTTCGGGCAGAATTCCCAAATTGGTGGGCCCAAGGCTCCCCAGGCCTGGGTGCAGCCCCAGGAGGAAGCTGAGCTCTGGGAGCAGAGTGGGGACACCCAAATTTAGGGATACTCCTTTGGAGTCCTCATCCTCAACAGCCCTGCAGCAGCTGGGGAAACTGAGGCACAGGGTGTCAGTGCCACCTGAAGTGGTGACAAGCTTCATTCCCTTTTTTTTTTTTGCCTGGCATTGATGAGTGGTGTTCCTATCCCTGCTCCCTTCACGTTTTACTTCTCCACCTGGCCMAGCTCAGCCCCAGGGGTCACCAAAAGGAAAATTGAGCCTCAAAAATTCACTCGCAGCTGGGCAGGGATGTTTTACCCTCCTGGCTGGGCAGGACCAGCCCCTGCCTGGCACCAGCATTTCAGCAAAACTCTGCAGCCTTGCAGGTTGGGCTGGGATTTTCCTATGGGGTTTTTTTTCCCTGTTTTTTTTTTCTTGAGGTTTTTTTCCTTTTCCTTCATTGTCTTTTGTGGCAGGGCAGGTTTCTTGCTGAGTGTCTCTGAGGTCTGCAGCGGCGACGAAAAGGATTAGCACAAGCAGAGCATGTAGGCTTTAGAGAACAGAGCAGAGTTTGGTTTCAACATCTAATTCAATTTGTTCTGCCGAGATTGAAATATGAAATGGTTGCCAGTCAAACGTTCAAAGGGGGAGGAGGGAGGGAAGAAGAGAGGGAGCCTTCTCAAATTTAAATTTTAATGAAAATTAATTTAACCCTTTGATATGTTCTAAAACACATTATTTCCCAGCCTGGAAAACATTCGTGAGGGTGGATTTTATTTTTTTTTTCCTCCTGTACCTTCAAACATAATGAAGATTTTCTTTTTCCCTTAATGATACTTATCTRCTGGAGCAGTTTGACATTGGTTAATTTTTCAGGCAATTTGGTATCAGGGAAATCTGTTTGATGTGAGCGGGGAGGGGRCTGTGTGTGCGTGCACAGATCTATCTGTGCCTGGACATTCATTATGGAATTGCTGATCCCGGCTCTGGAGAACATTTGGAGTTAATTCCTGYTCCAATCCTTCCTTACGTGTTGAGGATCCCACGCCTTGCACCCCTAAAATTGCAGCAGGAATTTCCCCACAACGAGCGTGCACCTGCTAATTACCTGGAATTAGATGATCACTTAAGCAAGTCTGCAGAAATTCAGCACTCCCCACTGCCTGTTTAGGGTTTTTTCCCCCCTGATCTGAATAATCCTAATGATGAAATAATGCAAACTCTTACCTGTCCASGTAGTGAAGGTGGGAACAGCCTCCCACTGGTGCTCAACCTCAGCAGCGCTGCTCCGGTGCACTTGTGTGGTTCGGGAGGGGGAATATATTTATTTATTTTTTAATTTATTTTAATTAACTTTTAATTTATTTTAATTTATTTTGTATTTATTTAAATTTCTTATTTATTTTTATTGTTATTTATTTTTTACTTCTTTATTTTTATTTAATTTTTATTTATTTTTATTAATCTTTTATTTTTATTTTATTTGGGTTTTATTTATTTATTTTGATTATTGTTTTACTTTTATTTGGTTTTATTTATTTTTATTTTTTATTTTTATTTGGTTTTATTTAATTTTACTTAATTTTACTGATTTGTTTTTATTTATTTTTACTTATTTTTAATTTAATTTTACTTAATTTTATTGATTTGTTTTTTTAATTTATTTTTACTTAATTTTACTTAATTTTATTGATTGTTTTTATTTATTTTTTTAATTTATTTTTATTTAATTTTACTTTATTTAACCGATTCGTTTTTATTTATTTTTTATTTATTTTTACTTCCTTTTAACTTTTTTATTTCTTTTTATTTCATTTTACTGATTTGGGTTTTTTTTTAATTTATTTTKATTTATTTTTATTCTTTCCCGTTCCTCTGGAATGTTTTATCCATACCCAAAGATTTCACACTGGTTGTTGGAGCTGGGCTGAGCTGGTCCCTCATTTTGCTGGTGTCACTGTCACCCTGTGCAGAGCTGGGCACAGGCTGTGATGCTCTTTGGGTGTCATTTTTGGGGTGGCAGTGTTGTCCCCGGCTGTGCTGGTGGCAGGGAGGATGAGCAGCTCCTGAGTGGGTTCCTCATGGGGTTTGGGCTGTGCTCAGCTCCTGCTGCCCCATCCCACCCCTGAAASCAGGGGTTCCCACCCAGTTCTGGGTCCCTGTGGAGCTCACAGTGCCCAGTTTGTGCCAGCTCCCCCCAGGGCACACCCTGTGAGCTCCACACCCCGCTCCATCCCCAGGGCAGCTCTGCAATTGGATTAGGATGTTATTGCARTGCAGCTTTTGTGCTCAATGGGAGGCTTTAGGGGCTTTAATGCAGCAGCAGCTGTCCCTCATTGCTGTGGGGCTTTTATCCCATTTTAGGGACAATCCAGGGATCCTGGCTGTGCTGGGCACTGCCAGCCCCTCTGCTGAGCCAGGCTGGGCCCTGGCATTGCCCAGAGGGATTCATTCATTCCCTTTGGAAAACCYCACCAAGAGCTGTGTGTGCTCCCTGGGCCATGGGAGGAGCAGGAGAGCTGGCAGGACAGGTGGTTTCATCCCCACTGCTGCCATCAATTCAGGAATTCCAGCTCTTCTCACCCCTTCAGTCCCATCTTGCCTCTTACCAGGTTTTCCTCTCCAGGTTTTCCTCTCCAGGATTTCCTCCCCTGGTTTTCCTCCCCAGATTTTCCTCCCCTGGTTTTCCTCCCCTGGTTTTCCTCCCCTGGTTTTCCTCCCCTGGTTTTCCTCCCCTGGTTTTCCTCCCTGGTTTTCCTCCCCAGGTTTTCCTCCCTGGTTTTCCTCCTTGGTTTTCCTCCCCTGGTTTTCCTCCCTGGTTTTCCTCCCCTGGTTTTCCTCCCCTGGTTTTCCTCCCCTGGTTTTCCTCCCCTGGTTTTCCTCCCCTGGTTTTCCTCCCCTGGATTTCCTCCCCGTGTGCCCCATGGAATGGGGTCTGGGAAGCACTGAAGGGGCAAACAAACACCGTAAATCCCACTCACACTCCCTTTGCCTTTGTCTTGCATCCCYTGCACCSTCCCTGCTGCTTTCCAGGAGCTCTGGAAGCAGAAAAATTTGGAAAAAAATTTGCAAATGCAGGTTGGGAGAGTCAGCTTTGGGTGCTGGGTGGAGATTCAGGAGCTTCTCCTTCATCAGAGAATCCCGGGAGAGACTGAGTTGGAAGGGAGCAACATTCCAACACATCCAGACCTTACCCTGGGTCACCCCACCTTCAGCACCCAGCAGCACCTTCCAGCACGTTCCTCAGCAGGAAAAGCAGCAGGAGGACGAGGCAGGGTGCAGCATTCCTGGCTGAGGCACTGTGCCTCCTGTTTTCCCCAAATGTATGCGCTGGAGAGGAGGAGAAACCGCATGGCCGGGCTCGAGAGCTCAGCCTTCACCAGCCATGAATAATAATCAGCCTCAGTAATTCGCTGGAAATAGGGATCCAAATTGGCTAATAAGGGAGGMTTTCACCCCAAACTGGAGCTGGGAGGGGGGCAGGGAGAGCAGGAGAACACGGGGAAGTGATGCCAGCGTGGGAGCAGGAGAGCAGCGCCAGGAAGGGTCCTGGAGAAGGGATGGGGTGTCACCTCCCCTGGGAGCTGCAGGAGCTCATCCCCACCTTCCACAGGCCATCATCAGTGCCGTGGGATTGGGTTTGTGTCTGTTCCAGCCCCTGGAGCGTGGTGGGCTCGTAGGGGTGAGTGTGGATTGGGATGGGGTACGGGGACAGTGTCACCACGTCCCCACAGGGACACCATCCCCAGGTGACACCATCCCCAGCTCAGGGTTAGCAAAGCTGCTAACCTGCAGGGACATCAACAGCAAAAAGGGGTGTAGTGTGTGTCAGGAGAGGTGATCTGAGGAGAAAAGGGTTTTCTTGGTGTTCTCTCAACTAAAATGTTGCAGTTTGGGGTTCATTTTCTGCCAGAGAGGTGGTGGGAGCTGTGCTCTGGTGCAGCACGGTGGGCTGTGGGTCTGCACCTGCCAGCAGCRGGCTGTGACAGGGAGGGGACAGCCCGTGGCCACCCCCTGGGAGCAGGGACTGCTCCAGCACCGGGCACAGCATGGACAGACGGCAAATTTGCTGCCCAGCAAATTCTCCTGCAGACGCTGTGGGATGGAGTGAAGAAAAAAGCATGGAAAAACCCCTGTGGAGATCCCAGCCGGGATTTGGGCTGTTGGGATGCGTGGAGCAGGAGCTGCAAGGGCGGCTGAGGAGGAGCTGGAGGAAGGCTGTCCCTCCCGGGGGTTTTTGCAGCTGCTCAATGACTTGTTTGATTCAGGAGGAAGCTGTGGGCTGGGGTGAGCTGCTCCGGGGGCTCAGGGAGTGTCCGGCTGGAGCTGAGTTAACCTGGGCATCTCAGCAGAGCTCACATAGGCAGAGACAGGCCAGGGGTGGCTCTGGTGGCCCCAAAGTCCCTGTGACACCCCCTGGGGATGCAGAACAGGCACATTGCAGGCAGGAGCTGCTTTAATTCYATTTTCAGCCGTACTCAGGCCAGTGTGTCAGCCCTGGGAGCCACACGCAAAACACGGGGGGGGTGGTCACAGCCAGTTCTGCTGCCAGCAGGATAAACGGGACAGGACAGGGACATCAACAGGGGGGTGATGAACAGGACAGGGACCCCCTTCCAGCCCCCATCAGGATAAACGGGACAGGGACATCACCCAGGGGTGTCACAGCCAGTTCCACCCCTATCAAAATAAACGGGACAGGGACATCCCACGGGAGGGTTACAGCCCTTTCCCACCCCCATCAGGATAAACAGGACAGGGACATCACCCCAGGCAAAGCAGRGCWGGAGCTCCTCCCGCCCGATATCGGTGCCCAAAAACACAACCTGTGAAGTTTCTGCTTTTAATTTAACCCCGAGCGAGGCCGGTGTGGGTTGAGCTGCAGGGGGGTCTGCAGGCTCGGGAGGGAGCCCTGGGCTTCGTTAGGATTCAGCCGCCGGAGCTCTCCTTCCCCTCTGACGGCTGAGTGTGATTGACACTTACAAATTACCCAGCCAAAAGTGTCGAGTCTTTGACCCCTGAGTAACATCTTTGGCAAGCCTGAGATTTGCCAGCATTTTGTCATCTAATTACTACAAATCCCTTGAAAATTCACTGGCTGGTGAATTTTTAATGCGGGACAATTTCGATGTGATGCATCGCCCAGATGGGCACGCGCGGGCTCCTTCCCTCTCCCCCCGCCCTTCTCCTCCTCCTCCCCATCCCATTCCTGACCTCCCTCTGTGCATCCCTGTCCATGGAAGCACCCCGGGATCTCATCCCACTGGATGTGCCAGCTCTGTGTCCCCCTTGCTGAGGGAGCTGCTACAAGGAATTTATTTTTTTCCCCATTTTCCCAGGTCTCTGGCTGATGGATGGAGCAGGAGAAGCCTCCATGAGGAGCCRGCCCACTTGTTGCCAGCCCAGCCCGTTCATCCTGCAAACCCAAGGGCTGATTTGTGCCCTGTGTCCAAGTCCTGGAATTCTCTGCCTTTAAATTCGGAGAGGAAGGAAACCCTTGAGTGCTGGCAGCTGCTGAGCATCACTTCCAAATCCAGGCARGGATGTGATTCCCTTCACCTCAGCCCAACCTGGGGGAAGAGAACCTGGAGCGATGGACACCTCCCTGCTGACCCCAGGGACTCGGACAGAACCCGCACTTTATATCTGAATTAAATCATTTCCGTACTTTAAAAACCAGATTTTAAGTTTGCCAAACTGAGCCACRCCTGGGTTTTGTTTGGCTTTGTCTCTCCTCCCCAGCCAGGTAGGTTTTTGGGGCTGATGGGGAGATAAGAGCGTTTTCAGAGTGCGCCCTGGGGTTTGGCACGCCGGGCTTTGTGCCTGTGTCACTTCTGTCCCCGCTCCCCTGCAGTCRCCTCCCTTCTCTCCCTTGCCGGCTTTCAAAGGGAAAGAGGCTTTGCTTTTCAACCAGGGTACTGCTTTACATATGTAGGCAGCTGATAAAGTATTTTCCCTTCGCCCCTTTCCCCTCTGGGAATYGCTGTCTTACGGCAAAACTGTTTTGTCTGACAAGGGCTGCAACAGATTACATGTGTTGGCTGCAAACACGGGGCCTTTTTTTACCCCCCTTCCAGCCCCCCTGGTTTTTTTTTTTCCTTTTTAAAAAATATTCTGTTTTTTAAAAAATAAATCTCTATCTCTTCACGACCACAAGGAGCTCTGCCTTCACCTCCAGCCCCCAGGAAGGAGCAGCCCCGTGGTGGGATCTGACAGTGGTTTTGATCTCTTGGGTACTGCCTCTGGTCATTTCTCACCAATTTGAGGCAGAATCTGTGAAAATCACTGGTTCTGGTGGGGTTGAGCACTTCAGGGTTTGGGGTGGGAGGGTTTGGGAGCCCCCATAAGCACCCTCAGCATCCGTGGGGCTGGGACAGAGGTGTCACACTGAGCCACAGCAGGGAACTGCCGTGGGCCCTGGCTCAGGGACATCCAGGATATCCCTTCCCAGCCCGTGGATTTCTCCCATCTTTTGTTTTTTCCCTGCTGGGAAATATTTAGGATTTGCTGTTCCAGCACTGAAAACCTGAAAACCCTCAGAGCCAGGAAACCCCTGCCCAGGTTTGTCCCCAGGCTCCATCTCCTGAGCTGTCCCTTCCCARAAATGTCCCTTGTCCTGCTCCCAGCAGCACTGGCACACGGAGGAAGGGCTGGGAGGTGGTTGGAGCCCCAAGGATGGARGGAACACCGGGATTTGTGGGTGTTTCCCTGCTCAGGAGCAGCACAGCAGGCTCGGATTTCAGAGGGAGCGAAATGAGGACACTGCAGGGCCTTGGAGGGGGCACCCAAAACACCCAAAACTGGGGGGGAATTTGGGGGAGAGGAGCCCTGGGAGGGGCAGCTCATCACTGACCCATGCAGGCAGTGCCTCGGGGGATTAAAGGGGAAATCAAAGATGTTCAGGGAGGGGTTTGAAGGATTGGGAGCTGGAGCYGCTCCAGGGTGCCTGGAAGGGTCTGGCAGTGCCAGCAGCTGTCCCTGTGCCACCACTGCTGGACACTGCCCCCAGAGTGACCCAAGCACTTGGCAGATTTCGGACACAGCCCTGAGCTGRGTGACCATGGAGGGTGCTTGGAGCAGGGAGAAGCTGTGGCTGCCCCACCACATCCACCCAGCCCGGGGSATTTCTCGGGGCTTTCTGGGGGAGAAGATCCCTCAGCAGCACAGGCTGGCTCTGGGCATCTGCTGATGGGCATTTCCTGGTCCAAGGACACCCAGGAGAGCCATGAATGCACCCTGTGATGGGCRTTTCTGTGCCATGGTCCTTTTCCCACCCTTTTCCCAAGGATTCCTGTCCCTCAGCCTCCCGTGAGTTGACCCCACTTGTGTTTTTCGCAGAGCTGAGCTCCGGGGGTACACGGGGGGTCACTGCCCGCGGGTGGGGTGACACTGCTGGTCTGGATAGGGCCACCCACACCCCAGCACCTCCCCAGGGTGTTGCCAGGTGTGGAACAGCCCAGCACCCTTGGCACCCCGTGATCCCCCCACTCCCTGGGTGAGGAAGGAGCGATCAGCGCCGCTTGCTCCAGCGGGCAGTGCCCAAATGTCAGAGAACAGCCAAGTCATTAAGAGCTGGTTCGACTCCATGTCTGCTCCCAGACTGGCTGTGTGTGAGGAAATTTGGGAGTGAATCCAGCCCTAAAGCACCGGGAGGAATCCCTTTCCTCAGTTTTTCCCTGCCTCAGTTTCCCTTCTATTGCCTCTGTAGGGGACAGGATGGGATGGGATGCCAGATCCTGCCCTGGGGGTGCCAGGCATCCCCAAAACCCCCAGTTCCACCAGGGGGATGGACCAGGGCAGCTCAGCAACCAAGGAAAATCTTCTGCTCCCATTAAAACTCCAAATCCGATGAGCTGGGATGAGCTGTCCCTGCGTGGGTGTCCAGAGGTACACTCAGAGCTGCGTGCCTGAGGCTGTGGGCAGCCAAAAACCTCAGATTTCAGGGGGCAGCAGCCCGGCTGGGCACAGGCAGGAGGAGGGTCCTGCTTCCCATCTCTGCACCGAGTGGGAGAGGGAGAGAGCGGGAGGAAGCGGCAGGGAAAGGACGTGTCAAATCAATCATATTTAAACAAAAGCCTCTTCGGCCCAAGGGCCCTTTTAAAAGCTGCTTATTTAATTAAAAGTCCCATTTTCCATATTTATGGCCCTTATTCAGTTAAATATTAACCGCCTGGGCCAGGGCTGGTTTATTCTTTGGGAAGAGGCAGAGTGGGGAGGTTCATTAGGGGTTTATCAGGCAGATGGAGGGATGGGGACAGCTCACACRGGCTCGGGGCCTGGGGACTGGCAGGGTGACACCACCACTGCCCTGCCACCTCCCAGCAGGACACGGGGTGGMAAATGGGGAATTGGGGCTGTTGGGGTGGTGTGGGAGGCTCCTGCAGGGAACACCAGGCACGGTTTATCCATAAAAACACCTCAGTTTTTCCTCTGGATCACGGTACCATTGCTAGCCAAACCCTGGCCAGGACGGTTTTTCCCCAGGATRTCATTCCCAGCAGCGTGTGGGAGTCATGGCTGTGCCAGACCCGGCTCTGTGGGGTTTGGACATCTCAGGACCTGGCTGAAGGTCCATCTGTGGGGTCACCACTCCRGGCTGGCCTTGGGGACCTGGAAACAAGAACCTCTGGGGGGGTCCTTGGGGTCATGGAGGGGAACCAGAGCAGCTCGGGTTGGTGCTGACTCCAGAAAATGTGGAATGAGGAAATCCTGGAGTTTATGGGTTGGAAAGGACYTTAAAGACCARGWRGTKCCACCYCGCTGCCATGGCCGGGACAGCTCCCACTGCAAGGGTTCACCTTCCTCCGGGGGAAAGCCAGGGAGCAGAGGAGCTGCCGCRCTCCTGAAGGTGTCCATGGGATGGATCAGGGCCATCCCCCGGCCGTGGGGCAGAGGAGAAACCCCCCGGAGGA